AGAAATTGATTCCAGCACTCATTGGCATGGCAATTGGCTATTTGGAGTCCCGATCCTTCCAAATGTGGTCTCCTAGAAGATAGGGACCAACTCTATTCTCTCTCTGGGAATATGGGGAAGAGTATAGAGATGGGACCCGGAATATCTGCTGAATGAGACAGAAACACACTAAAGTCCCTCAGTTACCCTCTCTCAGTGTCCAACACAAACACACACACACACACACACACACACACACACACACACACACCACTGTACCAGTACTGGGACTGGGTGTGGAGGCTGCCCTGAGCCAGCTCCAGCTTCCTCAGCAGGATGCGGATAATACTGAGAAAAAGTCCAAAGTTCACCTGTGAACAGAGGCATGGGCGGATGGAGGGTAAGGGTCAGGTGTAGCCCTGGATGGCCTGAGATGGGGCCTCAGCACTTTGGGGGGCTAGACTCCTGAATCCTTGACACACAGGGATGTGCAAGTGGATGGACGCACAGACAACCACCCCAAAACTTGTAGCCTGGAGGCTGGGAGGTCCCACGTGCAAGCCAAGGAGAGCAGAGGAGGGCTCAAGCACCCCCCTCCAGTCCTGGGATCAAGGCAGGGAGTGTCAGGTCTTGCCGCGGGCCTCCTGCTGCCTCCCAGGCTCTTCTCTAGCACAAAGCAGGTGCCCCTCACTTTGCACAATTGCTAAGCTGAGAAAAGGTTGCACATGTGAAAAGGTTGCACATGTGAAAAGGTTGCACATGAGAAAAGGTTGCAAGCCACGTGAAATGGTCCTCACTGCCTCTGTGTTCTGTGTGGGAGCTGGGGAGAAGGTTGCACTCAGCCGTAGGCTCTGCCTCCTTCCCCCCACCCTCAGTCTCTCCCAGCAGTGCTAAAAGGTCTTCAACCAGCTCACCAGATCATCAAAACTCTGAGCTACAACAGCCTGCCTTCTGGTTGAGAACACCCCTCTGGTTACCAATGCGCTACTGAGGCCCAGAGAGGGTCTCATAGACACTCAGCAGCAGAGCAAAGCTGGAACCCGGGTATCCCAACTCCCACCCTGGCCATGCTCAGCCCTTTGGTGGGTTCAGGGAGGTTCACTGAATAAAACCCAGGGACTGACCCCCACGGAGAGGACAATGGGCCCTTTGATGATCCACCAGTAGGGGGAGCTGTTGTCTAGGTCCCAGCACCTCTGGAGCCAGGACAGGAACAGTGACTGCAATATCCCCTGTTCTGTGACACCCCACATGCCTCCCGCTGTCTCCTCTCTGGCACTCACATCCCTGGTCTCACCCCACCTGCCTTCCAGCCCTCTTTCTTGACACAACCAGTCAGCCTCCCCTGAAAGGGGCGCCCCAATCCAGGCTGGGCCCACCCTTTCTCTCCACCTCATTGGATAAACATCTCTAAAGTCGGTGGATTTGATGCCTCCTTGCTGGTCCCAGGACTTACCTTTTTCCGGACAGTCCCACTCCACCGGGTAACCCTGAACCCCCCTCTCCTACCCAGTCCATGTCCTTTCTGGGGCATCCACAGCCTGCCTTCTGGTCTCCCATCCCCCAGTCTAGTTGGGAAGTCCCTCCTTTCCTCTTCCCAGCCTGCCTGTCTGTCCCACACCCCATGCTGACTCACGCAAGATCCTCGAAGGCCAGCTTACAGACCACCCACGTGCCAGTGAAGAACACAGGCAGCCCTGTGGGGGCATAGAGGAGACAGAGCAAGGGGGGTCTACATACTTGGCTCTGAGATCTGTCCCCCAACCCCACCACCAGCCACACAGCACACTGCAAAGGCAGGAGCAGGTACAGGCCACAGCCAGGGACTAGTCCTGCTCTCTAGCACCTGCTGCAGGGCTGCAGCCATCCTCACATTTCCCTGGGCCTTAGCATGAGGTGAAGGGGCCTTTAAGTGAGCTCCCTGGGCCTCCCCAGCCCTCGGCCTCCCTAGTCCTCTACCTCCCCATGGTGTCCCACTGGTCCCCATGCTCACCCCAGCCAGCAGCAATCAGTCACCAGAAGGCTCTCCTTGAGCTGAGGGAAGTGGAGGCCAGGAGGCAGTTCAGGTAGATGGCTTCTGCCGACAGCCAGCTGAAGTTGGTCATGGTGGCAAAATGGGAGGTAGCCACGGAGACCTTGCACAGAGCCTGGGGGCCAGGATCTGGCTGCTTCAGAGCTGGGACACCCATGGAAGCCCCCATCCAAATCTCCCCTACCCCACTCAGACCTGGAACCTCCGGGCCCTGCCACCTCAGTCTGGGCCATTTGATTCCTTGGGCTTCCCAGAAGGGCTGAAGTAGTATAAGGTGATGGCTAAGGCCATAGATGTGGGTTGGGGACAGCCTGGGCTCCGATGTCCTGTCTATTGGCTATGCGAACCCCTCATACCTCGGCTCACCATCTGTGAAAGGAAATGTTCCCAGAACCTGGTTTCTGTCCTTGTTCATGACTCATGGGAGTCAAGGGAAACTCTAAGAGTCACTTCTGCTTTTACTCTCACACCCTCCTTCCCCAGAGCTATGACTAGGGAACAGAATTCATTCAGGCCCAGCTCTGTCTGCAAGCACACAGTACCACCCGCACATGCATTCACTTGCAGAATGATTTGCTCGCCTGCCAGGCGAGTGGGACCACCTCTGAGCCCAGACCACCCAGGTTTGGGCCCAGCCCCTCCGCCCACTACCCCATTTCAATACCAAGCTCTGGGACTGGCGCTCCCCCAACAACGCCACCGAACACTCCAGTGGGTGGCAGAAGCCTGCCCTCTGCTCCACCACCAGCCACCTTCCCCATGTGACACGGAACCTGCCTCCCCCGCCTGCCCTGAGACCCCTTAACAACGCATCAGCTTCTCCTCCTGGACCTGGGGGCCTAGTCGCCACCTGGGCATCTGCCCTCTCCCCATGCAGTGGGGCAGGCTATGGGCGGACTTCCTGCCTAGGGAAGGGCCCGACTCTAGCCCTCTCGCCCCACCCTCTGCCGTCCCGCTTCCTCCTCTTCTGTCCCAGAGCCCCCGATGAGGTATCCCTATTCATCCTCTAGCAGTAGCTCTGCGGCTGTCTCCTCTTCCAGCTCTTCCGCCGCCGCCGCCCAGTACCCATCTTACCAGGCACTGCCCAGTTATCCCCACTCTTTCCCTCCCCAGGCAAGACTCTCAGTCTCCAACCAGTCCCCCAAGTACACCCAGCCTTCTCTCCAGTCCCAGGCAGTGTGGAGCCAGGGTCCCACTCCACCTCCTCCTTATGGCCGCCTCTTAGTCAACAGCAGTGCCCACCCCAGCCCCTTCCCACCTCCTGCCAGGAGCCAAGCCGATGCCCACTCGGCAGCCCCAACACACCAACAGGAGCAGCAGCATCAGGGGACCTCTGGGGACCTACCCAGAGCGTTTCCCCACCCTTTA